ACAGGGTTTCGCCATGTTGGCCAGGCTGGTCTTGAACTCCTGACCTCAGGTGATCCACCTGCCTCGGCCTCCCAAAGTGCTGGGATTACAGGCGTGAGCGACTGTGCCAGGCCGGTTTAGAGATTTTAATAGCTCCATGTCATGCAGTATGAGTCACAGGCAAGAGCTCAGACCAGGTACCCAAAAACAGAAATGCCAAATATCATGCCCTGAGTAATTCTGTGTCGTAGTAATAGATTGCTGTGGATTCATGAGTATTTGGGGTTATTTTACTTCCTTGGCACCAAATTAAACACTCAAAGTTGACATTGTCAATCCTATCCAACACTCTTTTTAAGAAAAAAAAAAAAAAGTGGGCCGGGCACGGTGGCTCATGCTTGTAATCCCAGCACTTTGGGAGGCTGAGGCAGGTGGATCACTTGAAGGCCAGGAGTTCGAGACCAGCCTGGCCAACATGGTGAAACCCCATCTCTACTAAAAATACAAAAAAATTAGCCGGGCATGGTGGTGGGCGCCTGTAAGCCCAGCTACTTGGGAGGCTGAGGCAGGAGAATCTCTTGAACCCCAGAGACAGAGGTTGCTGTAAGCCAAAATTGCGCCATTGCACTCCAGCCTGGGTAACAAGAGTGAAACTCCGTCTCAAAAAAAAAAAAAGGTGGGGGCTGGAGGAATGTTAATAAACATGTACTTCTGCCATATAAGGTAGGAATGGATGATGAAGTATTCAAGACTCCCTACTGGCTGTCCACTTAATTTGTATCTTTAGAAGTTGACTTAATGCTTTTCTGAGGTCATCCAGTAACTTTCCCATTTAATGCAAAATAACAAGCTAGTCACTGTCTTGAGGAGACAGTTGTTTATCTTTAGTAGTTATTTTGCAGCTAGGTGGGGTAAATTTGCTCAGAACTCCTACAGGATATGAATCATTTGCATTCATAGGTTGACCTATTCTCACTTTGTTCTTTCTGAGAAGAGTTTTAATACAGCCTGTATTATATAACATAGAGGATACATCGTCATTTATATTTTCAGTGTCATTCTCAAATCAATTTGCAGAATCTATGATAAACGTGAGAACTTGAGTTGCTATAATTAACATCTCATGTACATTCAAATAAACAAGCAAACTGAAGAATAAATCCCAGAAAATGTTATTAGCTTTTTGCACAAGCTATTTGAGGTCTTCGAATATTGCAGGAGAGTGTGGAATGGAGGACAGCGTGCAGATGGCAACACGGAAACCTGCAGTTACTGATCTTTTTAAAAATGTGTGTGATAGACCAAGCTTGGTGGCTCACGTCTGTAATCCCAATGCTTTGGGAGACTAAGGTGGGAGGGTTGCTTGAAGACAGGAGTTCCAGACCAGCCTGGGCAACATAGCAAGACCAACCCTGTCTCTACAAAAGAAAAAAAAAAATGAAAAAGTTAGCTGGGCATGGTGGTATGCACTGCTACTTGGGGAACTGAGATAGGATCACTTGAGCCCAGGAGTTTCAGGTTGCAGTGAGCTATCATCACACCACTGTCTAGAAGCCGGGCAACAGAGTGAGATCTTGTCTCCTAAAAAAAAAAAAAAAAAAAAAAAAAAAAAATTATGCGATGAACTTTCATAACTTTCAGTTTATTTATTTATTATTTTTTTCAGACAGAATCTCACTCTGTCACCCAGGCTGGAGTGCAGTGGCGCATATGTGGCTCACTGGAGCCTCAACCTCCCAGCCTCAAGCAATCCTCCCACCTCAGACTCCCAAGTAGCTGTGACTGCAGGTATGTGTCACCATGCCTGGCTGATTTTTTTTTTTTAGAGAAAAGGTCTTGTTGCTGTGTTGCCCAGGCTGGTCTCAAAATCCTGGCCTCAAGCGATCTTCCTGCCTCAGCCTCCCAAAGTGCTGAGATTACAGGCATGAACCACCTCACCTGGCTAAAATTTTATTTTATACAAGTATTATATTTTCTTATTAGAGTAATCTGAGCATTTAATTGACATATTTGGAATTAATCAGAAAGGCTAATAGTTATATAAATATATTGGATTGTTTGTGTGAGACTAATTCTTGGTAAATCAACATGAACTACAAGAAATGGTCGACGTTAGTGCTGATAAATTCTGAATCTTTACATGAAGAATATGTGTCACAACTGAGTGCAGTGGCTTACGCCTGTAATCCCAACACTTTGAGAGTCTAAGACAGGCAGATCACCAGAGGTCAGGAATTCAAGACCAACCTTGCCAACATGGTGAAGCCCCGTCTCTACTTAAAAAAAAAACTAGCCAGGCGTGGCGGTGGGCGCCTGTAATTCCAGCTACTCGGGAGGCTGAGGCAGGAGAATCACTTGAACTTGGGAGGAGGAGATTGCAGGGAGCCGAGATCACGCCACTGCGCTCCATCCTGGGCGACATAGCGAGACTCCGTCTCAAAAAAAAAAAAAAAAAAAAGAATATGTGTCAGAAGAGAGAAAGGGAGGTATGGCATTAATGCTGTATTAATTTATAAGATAGAGGCATGGTATTCTTGGATTCTGGAGCCTATCAGGACATTCAAGGTATTGATTTGAATTGAAAAAGTATGGAAAGATAAAATGAACTTTCAAGAGGGATGCTGATCATAAGTCCATTTAGGGTTATTGTCTCTGTGACTATGGTCAGACTGGCTTCACTGTGGAACTTAAGAATGAAAAAGGCTGGGCATGGTGGCTCACACCTGTAATCCCAGCACTTTGGGAGGCTGAGGAGGGCGGATCACAAGGTCAAGAGATCGAGACCAGCCAAGCATGGTGGCTCACGCCTGTAATCCCAGCACTTTGGGAGGCCGAGGCGGGCAGGTCACGAGGTCAGGAGATCGAGACCATCCTGACTAACATGGTGAAACCCCGTCTCTACTAAAAATATAAAAAATTAGCCAGGTGTGGTGGCGGGCGCCTGTAGTCCCAGCTATTCAGGAGGCTGAGTCAGGAGAATGGCGTGAACCCAGGAGGCAGAGCTTGCAGTGAGCCGAGAGAGAGCCACTGCAGTCCGACCTGGGTGAAAGAGCGAGACTTCTGTCTCAAAATAAATAAATAAATAAAAGAGATCGAGACCATCCTGGCCAACATGGTGAAACCCTGTCTCTACTAAAAATACAAAAATTAGCTGCACGTGGTGGTGTGTGCCTATAGTCCCAGCCACTTAGGCAGGAGAATCTCTTGAACCTGGGAGGCAGAGGTTGCAGTGAGCCGAGTGGCACCACTGCACTCCAGCCTGGCGACAGAGCGAGACTCTGTCCCAAAAAAAAAAAAAAAGAAAAAAGAAAAGAATGAAAAGGTAGCATGGTGGCTCATGCCTGTAATTCCAGCACTTTGGGAGGCTGAGGCAGGCTGATTGCTTGAGCCCAGAAGTTTGTGACCAGCCTGTGCACAGGGTGAAACCCCATCTCTAAGGAAATTACAAAAATTAGCCAAGTGTGGTGGTGCACACCTATAGTCCCAGCTACTGTGGAGGCTGAGGCAAGAGAATTGCTTGAGCCTGGGATGCGGAGGTTGCAGTGAGCCAAAATTGTGCCACTGCATTCCAGCCTGGGTGACAGAGCGAGACTCCATCTCAAAAAAAAAAAAAAAAAAAGAATTAAACTTTCGTTTTTGCCATAGCTCTTTATTTCACTAATGTTCTGTTCCTTCATACAAACGAATACTAATCTCTCTAAATATAGCAAACTATCAAAAGGAAATAGTTTTGTACCCTGTTGTTTATGAAACTTACTATGACAAACTACTCCTAAAGCAGCTTCAGCTATGATTGAATAAATGCTAGAAATCCAGGATAAATATGATACTCCACCTCCACTTTTTAAAGGAAATAAATGATTTGTGTTTTTGGAATCTCAAGAAATTTACAGCTGGGCGTGTTGGCTCACTCCTGTAATCCCAGCACTTTGGGAGGCCGAGGCAGGTGGATCACCTGAAGTCAGGAGTTTGAGACTAGCCTGGCCAACGTGGCGAAACTCCATCTCTACTAAAAATACAAAAAAAATTAGCCGGGTGTGGTGGCTTGCACCTGTAATCCCAACTACTAGGAAGTCTGAGGCAGGAGAATTGCTTGAACCTGGGAGGTGGAGGTTGCAGTAAGCCAAGATTACACCACTGCACTCCAGCCTGGGTGACAGAGCAAGACTCTGTCTCACAAAAAAAAAAAAAAGAAAAGAAAGAAAGAAATTTACTTTCTCACATGGGATATATTTTACAGTTGGTCAAATGTGCTTGTGTGTGTATGTGTATTCTTTTCTCTGTATCATATGTGATAGTGGGGTAGTGCCAAACATTGTTAACTCTGATGAATAATGTCTCTTTTGGTTAGATCATTCTTACCTTACTGGTATCTCTTACTGTTTCCTTACCTAGTTATGCTGTTATTGCCTATGGCTGTGCCAGCTGCCCGAAGCTAACTTGTGAGAGGGAAGGTTGCCAGACTGAGTTCTGCTACCACTGCAAGCAGATATGGCATCCAAATCAGACATGCGATATGGCCCGTCAACAGAGGGCCCAGAGTTTACGAGTTCGGACCAAACATACTTCAGGTCTAAGTTATGGGCAAGAATCTGGACCAGGTATAAGTTGGCATTATCTCATTGTCTCTTTATTTGGTATTTCATGATGTGAGCCCAAAGCTGAAAGAGATTATCTTGTCGTATAACCCAAGTGCTCCAAAGGATCAGAGAGCAGAAAATATCATTTGGTAGTATTTTCAATATTATAAAAGAGATAGCACTTCCCTCTCTGACCATTATAGGTTATCTAACCCATATAAAATTAAAATGCAACAAAATTGAATTATGTAGTTCCTACTTTCTTAGTAATATGTCTCAGATTGAAGAGCAATTAGTTTGTTTTGTTTTGCTAGGGGCTTTTTCAAAACTTTCATTGTGAACAGAAAGACATTTAATGAGTATTAAACCTGTACTGTTTGCCTTCAAGCTGGCTTAAGTGCCTCACTGCCTTTGGAAGTAGAGTACAGATTGAAGAAAAGGAAATAATATTAGTATAGATTAATGATTAACCTTAAAAGAAGGAATGTCACACATTCAGCTCCAACATTGACCAGTCAGAGTAAACCTATTTTAAAATGTCAGTGGATTTATTGCTTTGTACTTTTATTTTACTGATGTCATTTGGGAGAGGCTAGTAGGAAAGATTTTGCCGTTCACTTTTTCCTGGCACAGCATAATTTCCTAAATTGTCATTTTATTATGATAGTTCATAACTTGCTCTGAAAATTACCAGGTATATATGCTACATAGCATACCCAGTTGTTTTTAGGTTTTGAATTTGAAAGTATCAGGGTAAGGGATTGTGAGCTATGTTAACAGCAAATCACAGTGATACATGTTGAACCTGAAAAATAAATTTCCTTGAACTAAAGTTTTTAAAAATGTGAAGCTAATTCCAGGCTGCAGGCTATTCTTTCTGTAGGATTCTTTTAAATCTGCCAGCCTATCGACTGGTAGAAATTTCATTTTTCTTGGAAACATCTTTCTCCCTAAGGAAGTCTCCTTGCTAGAATGTGGTTCAAGTGCTGTGTAAGATGCGAGTTGTTGGGATAGGCAGCTCAATGAGAGATAGGATTTGTTTTATGAAAATTCCTGAGGTTTAGACATAGCCAACCTTCCAGTAAAGTGGGTTGTACAATTTAGAGTGTTCAGTGAAGAGTGCTTGACTGCTGCCTCATTTCTTATATATACTCCTCAGAATAATTAAATCAAACTGGATTTAACTAGGGGTGTTTTTCTACCCATTCTTCCTCCCCCACTCATAGCAGATGACATCAAGCCATGCCCACGATGCAGTGCTTATATTATCAAGATGAATGATGGAAGCTGTAATCACATGACCTGTGCAGTGTGTGGCTGTGAATTCTGCTGGCTTTGTATGAAAGAGATCTCAGACTTGCATTACCTCAGGTAAGATGGGAAATGCATCCATTCCTTTCGTAGTCTTATTCTTTACTGATATAGGGAAAAGGATGTCAAAAAGACACAGCCCTTCTCTCATTACAGATTAAGGAAGCTGTGAAAAGTTCTTCTGATATGCTCCTTTTATGTTTTCACCAGCTACTATTCTAGTTCTTTCCACCTTTCTTTGCTTTTATACGTGCCATATTCCAGGTAGTCTGGATTTGCTTTTCCCCTTTTGCTGTCTTGCCTCCATACTTGTTCATGTTCTTTCCTTTGCCTAGAATGCTTTCTGCCTACCTTCCAATATCCTCCTTTTATCTCAACTTGTTCAGTTCTTGTCTTTTAAGAGCCACTTAAATGCCATTTCATCCATGATGCCTCACCTTTTTCTGCCTCATTCTTTGACTTTCTTTTATCTTTTGTCATAAATATCATCAGTACTTTATACTTCATGTACATGTCTTATCTTACTAAACTGTAAATATCTTGAGGCTAGAGTTGTGACCTTTTTACAGTTTTTTGCATTTAGTGAGTTCCCAAGGAATTCATTGAGTGAATTTTTTTTTTTTTTTTTTTTTTAAGACAGAGTTTCACTCTGTCACCCAGGCTGGAGTGCAGTGGCTAGATCTTGATTCACTGCAACCTCCG